GGGGCCCCCATTCCCCCGGGGCCTCCCCTGACTCTTGCCCCCCCCGTGTGCCAGGGAGCCGCTGGCGAATCTGGCCCCATGGGGGAGAGAGGCCACCCGGGCCCCCCCGGCCCCCCAGGAGAGCAAGGGCTACCGGGACCATCTGGCAAGGAGGGCACCAAGGTGAGGACGGTGGCTCGGGGTGGGAAGGTGCTGTGGGCATGGTGATGGTCCCCGGGGAGTAGGATGTCGGGTACCGGGGCATGGACCCCCCCATATCTCACCTTTCGCTCTAGGGAGACCCCGGCCCCACTGGCTCCCCCGGGAAGGACGGTCCCGCCGGCTTGCGGGGTTTCCCCGGTGAGCGGGGTCTGCCCCCACCCTACCCCCCCTCAGCACCATCGCACTGATCCCCCCCTCATCTCGCAGGGCGGCCCAGGGCTGAAGGGCAACGAGGGACCAGCGGGACCCCCAGGACCCGCAGTGAGTGTCGTCCCCCCCTGCCATGAGCCCTGGTGGCTCCACAGCTCCCCTCGAGCTGACGCCCTCCTCCCTCCATCTTCCCCCAGGGCTCCCCTGGGGAGAGAGGTGGCCCGGGGCAAGGTGGTCCCGTTGGCCCCCCAGGACGACCAGGACCACAGGGACCACCGGGCCCTGCCGGAGAGAAAGGAGTTCCCGTGAGTGCTCAGGGACATCCCCCTCGCATCCCGCAGGGAAAGGCGGCGGGTCCAGGAGGGGTGCAAGGGGGTGGGTGCTTGCACCCCTCACCCCCCCCCTTTTCACATCCCTCTAGGGTGAGAAGGGCCCCATGGGTCCCGCTGGCCGGGATGGCGTTCAGGGTCCTGTGGGTTTACCTGGCCCAGCCGGCCCCCCCGGCGGCCCCGGGGAGGACGGTGACAAGGTGAGGTCCTACCCTGCCCCGGTGTCACCGTGCGCCCCGATGCACTGGGGCTGAGCACCCTTCTTCTCCCCTCCAGGGTGAGGTGGGCGAGCCGGGACAGAAGGGCAGCAAAGGCAACAAGGGCGAGCACGTGAGTGTGATGGGTGTCCCCCCCTCCCCAGACCTTGTCCCTGCTGTCCCCAGGGGCTGTCCCCAGCCTCACTGACCCCTTCCCTCCCTCACAGGGTCCTCCTGGTCCCCCTGGGCCCATCGGGTCAGTCGGGCAGCCCGGAGCCGCTGTGAGTATCCCGGAGGCAGGGCAACGTCACGGTCGGGGGGCGCGATGTGGGACGGAGGGTCCTGTGCCACACCTGGGGCCACACCGAGGAGGGGACGGTCTCAGCGAGGAGACGTCCCTGTCCTCGGGTCTGGTCCCCGGGGAGGTGAGCGGCGGCCGATCGTCCTTCCCGCCTTGCAGGGTGCCGACGGGGAACCGGGTGCCAGGGGTCCCCAGGGACATTTCGGGGCCAAGGGTGACGAGGGGACACGGGGCTTCAACGGTCCCCCTGGCCCCATCGGCCTCCAGGTGAGCAGCACCCCCAGCACCCCATGGCCACCCCCTCACTCCGGGGCAGTGCCGCCGCACCCGTCCTGCCTGTTCCCAAAACGGGGGGGGACGGAGACGCCCCCCCAATGCCCGCTGTGCCCCCACCTTGTTAACGCTCTCTCTTGCCCCAGGGTTTGCCGGGGCCGGCTGGTGAGAAGGGTGAAACGGGTGATGTTGGCCCCATGGTAAGTGACCTTGACCCCTCCCAGCCCCGTGTCGCTCTGGGTGGGGGGTAGCCCAGGACCATCCTCACTCTGTGCCTTCTCCCCCACCCCCAGGGCCCGCCGGGCCCCCCAGGTCCCCGTGGCCCAGCTGGACCCTCTGGAGCTGACGTAAGTGACCCCGCTTTCCCCCCGTTGCCCCACTGTCCTTCCCCGTGTCGGGTGCTGGGGTGACCGGCTCTGCTTTCCCCCCATCCCACCTGCAGGGACCCCAGGGACCCCCTGGAGGTGTTGGGAACCTGGGACCTCCTGGTGAGAAGGTACGTCCCCGGACATCGGGGTTCGCTCCCCGGGAGCCGCCCTAGCGGGGTGCAGAGGTGGGGTGAGGCCGTGGGGCCGTAGTGGGTCTATGGGACAAGGAACCAATCCGGAGGGCTTGGTCCCAGAGCGGGGACAAGGTGGCACGGTGCGGGGAGGGTTTGACACCTCTCTGTTCCCGTTTCAGGGGGACCCCGGTGAATCGGGAGCCCCGGGAATCCAAGGGGAGCCAGGAGTCAAGGTGAGTGTCAGCAGGGACACCCCGCTTTCTGTCCCCGTCCCCTGGCTGGCCCTGCCGGCTGCTGACCCCATCTTGCACCGCAGGGCCCACGAGGAGAGCGAGGGGAGAAGGGAGAAGCCGGAGCTGCCGGTGCTGCTGGGCCACCTGGAGGGAAAGGGCCCCCCGGCGACGACGGGCCCAAGGGCAACCCCGTGAGTGCCGTGTCCCCACCCCAGGATGCAGGGGACACGGGGAGGGAGCAGGAGGGGTTCGCTCCGGGAAGGCGTTGGGACCCCTTGGAGGGGAGGTCCAGGGTCCCCTCAGGCTAGCAGCTCGCTCTGTTTCAGGGTCCCGTTGGCTTCCCAGGCGATCCCGGACCCCCAGGTGAAATGGGTCCCAGGGTGAGTGTCGCATCCCACCCCCTCTGGGCTTCTACTGGAGGGGGCTTCCCTGGGAATGGCGTTGGGATTTGGGGGTGTGTGCGGGACCTTGTGCTGACTCCAGGTTTTCCCTTCCCGACAGGGCCAGGATGGCGCCAAGGGCGAGCGTGGGGAGGACGGCGAGCCCGGGGAGCCGGTGAGTGCCCCGTTCCGGCACGTCCCCCCCTCACCATCGCTCTGGGCAGGGGTGTCTCGACCAGATCCCCCTGCGAGGTTTGGGACTGGATTAACTCCACTGCTTCAGGAATGTCAGGGAGTGGGGAGCGCAGCCTGTCCCCCCTTCCGCGGCCATTGGATCTGGTCCCCCTGGTCCTGGGATCCTCCCATCCCTTTGGGTGCTCCTCACGTGGCGCTGGATCCTCCTCTTCGCCTTCCCCTCCATCCCGTTTCTGGGACAAGGCCAGCTCGCTCAGCTCCTTTCTCTTCTCCTTCCTTAGGGCTCACCGGGTCCGACAGGCGAGAACGGTCCTCCTGGTCCCCTGGGGAAGAGGGTAAGCACTGGGTGAGCCCGGCTCTGGCTGTGACACATCCCGTGCCACCCGCCTGGATGTCCCTGTCCCTCACCACCCTGTTTCTCCTCTCCGCAGGGCCCAGCTGGCTCCCCCGGCCCCGAGGGGCGTCAGGGCGAGAAGGGCGCGAAGGTGAGTGATTCGGTGACCGCTCCCACGCTGGGGTCCAGTGGTGCCCCCATGGGGAAACCCCAGCGGCGCTGCCAAGCTCCATGTGCCCACGTTATGGGATCAGCCTCACCCGGCTTCTCTGTCCCCCTCAGGGAGAACCAGGCGCAGTGGGTGCTCCTGGCAAGACCGGTCCCGTGGGTCCCCAGGGCCTTGCTGGGAAGCAGGGCCCCGACGGTCTCAGAGGTCTGCCTGGCTCGGTGGTAAGTGCCAACGTGCCGGTGATAGGGCAGCGGGATCCCATGCCCGGGGTCAAAGCGCAGAGGAGGGGTGAGGGTCTGACTGTCACACCGGGAGGGGACTGGGACATGTCACTGTGCCCATGGTTCAAGGGGAGCTGCCCGGGGTGTGCGCTGCCACCGGCGGCACCGACTCCAGACCGGTGGGACTCACCTTGTCCTCTCGCCTGTGCAGGGAGAACAAGGCAAACCGGGTACCACAGGCCAGGCTGGGCCACCAGGACCGGTGGTGAGTGTGGCCCCCTCTCCCCAGCCATAGCTCCCCGAGGGGGGGATCCCCCCAACTTTATGCTCCCCACATCTCACGTGCCTGCCTGTCTACCTCTGCAGGGTCCCCCGGGTCTCCCCGGCCTCAAAGGTGACACCGGTGCCAAAGGAGAGAAGGTGAGCGAGGTGCGGCGAGCGACCCGTGCTCTGGGTCACCGCTGCGCCCAACACAAGTCGGGGACCATGGCACCCAGGTGTGAGGCATACCCCACACTTGGGGGCCAAGACCCTAAGCCCTGCTGGGCAGCTGGCACTGGGTGGACTGGTTCCTATGGGTCCCCCGAGTGCTGGTCCCCGCCGGGCACCCACCACGTCCCCCTTCGTGGCCCTGTGCTGATCTCCGCTTGCGTCTCCCCAGGGCCACCCTGGTCTCATCGGCCTGATCGGACCCCCAGGGGAGCAGGGGGAGAAGGGAGACCGAGGTCTCCCCGGCCCCCAGGGCTCCACGGGGCAGAAAGGAGAAACTGTGAGTGTGGGACCTGGGGAGTGGGGGAGCCTGGGGAGGGTGAGGATGGGGTTGTGGTTCGGGGAGGGGGATCCATGCCGGTGGGGAGGGGCAGGGGACAACCTGGGGGGCTCTGGGAGCGGGGAGCCCTGCAGGGTGCTGGGGGAGGTGGGAATGGGGCCGTCCTGGTTTCCTCACGCCGGTTTCCGCTCTCCTCCCATTATGCAGGGGATCCCTGGTGCTACTGGACCCATCGGCCCCGCCGGCCCCCCCGGACTTCCCGTGAGTGCTCCCCGTGTGCTATCGGGTCCCTCCCTCTCCTCGCCCCGCTGCTCGCTCCCCCTCTCTCCTCCTTGTGCCTGGGCTCCCAGTTTCCCTCCCTGCGTTTGCGGGGGCGGGGGGGCTGCTGTCTCCCCACCCCACTTTGCCAGCCCCAGTCGCTGACAGACCTGGTTTTGCTTTGCAGGGCCCAGCTGGTCCCAAAGGTGCCAAGGGAGCCATGGTAAGCGCCGAGGCGGTGCCCCCACCTTGCCACCACCTTCAGTCCTGCCCAAGGCTGACCTCTGTGAGTGTCTCTTTCCTCTAGGGTCAAGCAGGACCCAAAGGTGAACGTGGACCCCCAGGACCCCCTGGACACCCGGTGAGTGGCTCAAGCGTTGGCACCAGGGAAGGAATGACACCGGGGTGGGGGGATGTAGGAACAGCTCCTCGGTAGGTAAAATGACACCCAGGAATGGACGTGGAGGGATGTCTTCTATCTCAAAGCCTGAGCACGGGGTGGTTTGGGGCCCTGGGGAGTGGGGGCTTCGCAGCCCCCCATGCTCGGGTGCTGACAGTGGTGTGCCTGCCACAGGGTCCCCCTGGGGAGGTGATCCAGCCCCTGCCAATCCAGCTGCCCAAGAAGAGCAAGCGCTCCATTGACGCCAGCAAGCTGGTGGACGAAGAGGAGGGTGAGGATGGAGAGAGACCTGCCGCCGACCAGGCGTCTCGTGACTACGCCGACGGCATGGAGGAGATCTTCGGCTCCCTCAACTCCCTCAAGCAGGAGATCGAGGGGCTGCGGCGCCCAATGGGCACCCGAGACAACCCTGCCCGCACCTGCCAGGACCTGCAGCTCAGCCACCCTGGCCTGCCTGATGGTGAGCTGCGCTGGCACTGGGCAGGGGGAAGGACGGCGGTTAGCACAGCCGCCCCGCCCCGTGTGCTGACCCCTCTCCTCCCTGTGCAGGCGAATACTGGATTGACCCCAACCAAGGCTGCGCTCGAGACTCTTTCAAGGTTTACTGCAACTTCACCGCAGGTGGGGAGACCTGCGTCTTTCCCAGCAAGGATGTACAGGAGGTGAGCGAAATGGGGGGGCAGCTCGGCGTGCGGGGTCCCAGCACAGCCTCGGGAGGCAGGGTGGTGGGGATCGGCCACGAGAAGAGGGTGGCTTGGGGTGCTCCCCACCTCGTTCACGGCTGCCTCTCCTCTTCCAGGTGAAGATGGCGGCGTGGGAGAAGGAGGTGCCCCAGCGGTGGTTCAGTCAGTTCCAGGAGGGCAGCAGGGTAAGGATGCTGCCGGCTCACCGGGGTGGGCTGAGCCCCCCTGCGGCACTGACCGCTTTCCCAGGTGCCCTGCCTGCACTCCGACTTACACCCCTCTCCTGTAACGCCCTGAGCGTGTCCCCAGCCGCTTCCCTTGGTGCTGTCTCGGGGGCAGCTGGATGCCTCTTTTCCCCTGTTTCTAAGGAGAAAGAGGAGAAACGTCCCCCACCTCGCCTTGAACTTGTCAGCCCTTCTGACCATCTCCCCCAGCTGCCTCCTCCAGGGGGGTTTAGATCCCCGCCGACCCCCTCCAGCCCCACTTTTCACATGCCTCTGGTCGTTGGCCCCCGTTAATTTGTCTCCTGCTCCCGCAGTTCTCCTACACGGACTCGGAGAGCCAGCCCCTTGGCGTGGTGCAGCTGACCTTCCTACGGCTCCTCAGCGTCTCTGCCCGCCAGAACTTCACCTACCACTGCCATCGCTCGGTGGCCTGGCACAGCACCACCTCTGGGGACCACCAGCGTGCCCTCCGCTTCCTGGCTGCCAATGAGGAGGAGCTCAGCTACGACACCAGCCCCTACATCAAAGCTGTGATGGACGGCTGCGCGGTGAGAGCGGCAGGGGTGGACGGTGGGGAGAGGGACGTAAGTGGAAGCAAGATCCATGGGGCTGGATTTGTCACGGGGAGAGAAAGTTGAAGGAAAAGGGATGGGTGAAGGCACAAATGGGTAATGAGGAGAAAGGAAGCACGAGAAGGCACCAAGATGGAGGGATGGGAGAACTGAGAGAAGGCAGGATCTTTCCTTTGGGGGTGCCATGGGTGTAAGTAGGGTGCCCCGGAGAGGGATGATCCAGTGAAATGCCAGGAAAATGCCATGGAGAAAGGGTGGCTGGACAGAGACGCTCCAGGGCTGAGCCTGGGTAGTGCCGGAGCAGCAGAGGCCGCTGGATAAAGAGAAGGCTTTGCTCTGCGTGAACCTGTCCCAGGCTGGTGCTCCCCGTGCCCCCCAACCCCTGACCCATCCGCCTGCCTCCCCTCCCCTGCAGGCACGGAAGGGCTCCAGCCGAACGGTGCTAGAGGTGAGCACGCCCCGCCTGGAGCAGCTCCCGCTGCTGGACGTGCGCATCATGGACTTCGGCGAGCCCGGCCAGAGGTTTGGGTTCGAGGTGGGCCCAGTCTGTTTCCTCGGCTAGGACCAAACCGTCACCCTCCTTGCCACACCCTGGCCTCCAGTGGGGCAAACCTTGCCTCCTCGCATCCCCCCACTGCCTCCGAGCGGCGAAGCAGCAAGACCCGCCTCCCCCTCGCATCACGTCACCCACCCGCTGGTGCGAGGAGCTGCGGTGCCAGCCCTGCCCACACGCACCGAGACCGACGCGCCGCCGCTGCCGCCCCCACGGGGGCCAGGGTCTGGAGAGATGCCAAAGAGACTTTAACGCTTAGAATAAATCTATATTTTAATATGTAGAGAGGCAGAGAGGAAAATTTTTAACGGATCCACTGGCTACCTCCCTTGGCACCCAGCAGTGCTCCCTTCCTCCCAGTATCTCCCTCTGAATCCCAGTGCTCTTTCCCAGCATTCCCAGGGCTTATTTTCCATGCTCCCCACCACCCCAGGGGGAACCCCTCAAGGAGCGTACCCACCAAGCAGAGGGAGCAGTACTCGGGTTTGCTCTCTGCCTGGAGAGCCAAAGGGTTTTAAAGCCTAATGGGGCGAGGAAACCCGGGATGACACTGGTAGGCGTCAAGTACCGCTAGCACATGTTTGGGGTTAGCGCCAAGAGAGCTCTCGTACCTCTCTCCCTGTGTGGATTTGCACCACGGTAACCCTCGTGCTTCAAAGCCGGTCTCTTGGGGTCAGGAGGGAACGGACCCAGGGACGCATCTGTCTCCGAGAGCGTTACCTCCTTTGTGTGCAACCCCACAGCAACGGTCGCTGTCCATCTCCAACGACGCACCGACCTACCTGGGCTCCGTAGTCTGGTCCAGCCTGACTCATACAGGTGGAGCAGCCGCTTGACTTCGTTACTCTGCTAATCAAGGCTCATTAATTTGAAAAAAAGCTTCCCTGTCCCATCAGGGTGTTAATTCTTTTCCCCGCTGCACCTATTAGCTCAAACGGGTTCCAGTCCCTGTCCTCAGTCCTACCTCCAGTCATCGCAAATCACCCCTCTTGCAATGGGAGTATTTAAAAAACCTCCGACAAAGCCTACCCCTAGCCCGTGGAAGGAAGTGAGGAAGAAGGACGTTGTGTTTTTACTGTGTTTTTTATTTTTTAAATTAATTATATTATTTAAAGGAGTGGATACAACCATCGATACTGGTCCCTGCGGCGTAATTTTGGATTTCCCCCCCCCAAAAAAAAAACAAAAAAACCAAGAAGTGAATTTCTGCATGGAGATTAACCCAGCCCAGTGCTTGGGGGAGGAGGGAGGGGAGGAAAAAAAAAAAAAACAAACAAAAAAGTAAAAAATTATTTTCTTGGTGCCGTCCGATAAAAAGAAGTTTAAAGGGGCACCAGTCTTTGCTTTTTAGTTTTCTTAAAAAGCAGAGGTGTGCCCCCTGGTGCTGAGCCGGCGGCCTGTATAATGTTTTGTAAGTAATTTTTTAAGTGTATTGTAATATATCATCTATAATTTTGCTGCTTTTTGGGGGTCGGTTATTTTTTTTTGTTTCCTTTCTCTCACTTTCCCCTAGCTTACCTACGTGATTTCCTCCATCGTGAAATTCCTCCATACAGAGGCGAGTTCCCATCCTGGGGAGAAAGTGGGGAATAAACACACATGCACGTAAATCCACCGTTAGTAAATGCACCTGCAAATGGGCTGCTCCGTCCAGAAGGGTCTGCAGAACATCTGGGCCACAAAATGCTTCTCAAGGGCTTCCTAACAGAAGGCTTGCAAACTAAAAGGAAAAGCCATGACAACAAAAAAAGAGCTTTGGGAAAACACAGGAGACTCCCGGTCCCCTGAAACTGCAGCTCTGCAGGGATTTCAGCTCACGTAGGAGCTGTCCGAGAGGGAGGCTGCTGGTCTTCTCCGTGCATGGGGATGGGATCCGGGGGGATCCCTCCATGGTGGGGCAGGTAACCCCACACCCAAGGGGAAGGGGGGACAAGGCTGTGCAAACCCTCTGGAGGGGAGCAACGTTCTGGTCTGGGTTTGCTAAGGTGACTGGGGTGTTTTCTCCAGTTGACAAACACTGCTGTGACTGAATGATGCTTTAATACTGAGCAAGTTTCCAGCAGCCCCAGGGGACAGCTGGGAACCTGACTCTTCCCAGAGAAAGGCACCCACAACCCCCTTGTGCTTGCCTTTTCCCCCTCCTCACACCGGCACCTCTTGTTCCTCTCAACTCTTGCTCGTGGATCTGCCCATGCTTGGTCATGGCTGGCTACCACAGCGTCTTTCCCACCTGCCACACCCCACATCCCTCCCAAACCACCATGTCCCCCTCCCTGCTCTGGTTTACCCTCAGACACCCTACTCCCACCATGCCCAAACCCACTGGTCACCATCACCAACCCGCCGCCAACCCACAAACCTTCCACTCTCCCCCCACCGCCACGGTGTTAGCATCGTCCCCAGCTGTTTCCACCACACCACCCACCAACACACACCCCTCTACTTTCCCCTCAGACCCCCTGGTGCGTTCAGCTGCTCCTCAGAGACCTCTTACCTTCCTCATAGAACTTCGGCGCCTGCCTCTGCCCTCAACTTTCCCTGCAGCAGTGTGAGGGGGGAGAAAAGGGCGGGAAGTGGCAACGTTGTGAGGGGTCGAAAAGGGCGGGAAGCAGCGTGAGGGGAGAAAAGGGCGGGAAGCTGCATGAAAAGAGAAAAGGGCGGGAATCAGCAGCGTTGTGAGGGGACAAAAGGGCGGGAAGCGACGCGAGGTGAGAAAAGGGCGGGAAGCGGCAGCAGTGTGAGGATAGAAAAGGGCGGAAAGCAGCAGTGTTGTGAGGGGACAAAAGGGCGGGAAGCAGCGTGAGGGGAGAAGAGGGCGGGAAGCAGCAGCAGTGTGAGGAGAGAAAAGGGCGGGAAACGGCAGCAGTGTGAGGGGTCGAAAAGGGCGGGAAGCGGCGTGAGGGGAGAAAAGGGCGGGAAGAAGCAGCGTTGTGAAGGGAGAAAAGGGCGGGAAGCGACATGAGGAGAAAAAATGCCAGGAAGCAGCAGCAGTGTGAGGGGAGAAAAGGGCGGGAAGCGGCAGGAGCGTGAGGGGGAGAAAAGGGCGGGAAGTGGCAGCAGTGTGAGGGGAGAAAAGGGAGGGAAGAAGCAGCAGTGTGAGGGGAGAAAAGGGCGGGAAGCGGCAACAGTGTGAGGAGTCGAAAAGGGCAGGAAGCAGCGTGAGGGGAGAACAGGGCGGGAAGCAACGTGAGGAGAGAAAAGGGCGGGAAGCAGCGTGAGGAGAGAAAAGGGCGGGAAGAGACAGCAGCGTGAGGAGAGAAAAGGGCGGGAAGTGGCAACGTTGTGAGGGGAGAAAAGGGCGGGAAGCAGCAGCAGTGTGAGGAGTTTAAAAGGGCGGGATGCAGCGTGAGGGGAGAAAAGTGCGGGAAGCAGCAGCAGCCTGCGGAGAGGAAAGGGCAGGAAGCAGTAGCAGTGTGAAAAGAGCATAGGGTGGGAAGCAGCAGCAGTGTGAGGGGAGAAAAGGGTGGGAAGCGATGTGAGGGGAGAAAAGGGCGGGAAGCAGCAGCGGTGTGAGTATGTCCCTGGCCATGGCAGGGGGGTTGGACTAGATGACCTTTAGAGGTCCCTTCCAAACCTAAACTGCTCTATGATCTTCCCTGAGCTGCCATGTCCCAAATGCGGCTACAGGTGCTTAAATATTGAGCAGGGAAGAGGACGCTTGGCCAGGCTGGCATTCAAGCATCGTGAAAAAACACTGACCCAAGGAGACAGCACTGTCCCTCTGGGTGCCACCTGACTGTTCTGCCTCTCTTGTTTCCCACCAGCTGTCTGCCTTTTGGCAGGCAAGAAGCGAGTTGCTGGCTGGCGTTGCGTAGGCAGCGAGATACTGAATGTGGCCGCTGTTGGATCTCTCAGCATCTCTGATGCAGGTATTAATGAAAAGCTCTTCCACTGCAGCAGGTGTGGTCTCAAGGCATTTGTCTTTCTGCATCGCTCCACGGGCAGCTCAGCGAGGCAAGTGGAGGTCTCCGTGTTGAAGCTTAGGAAGTCCTGGCCCAGGAACGACCCGACACATGGAAACCATAAGTGAGGAGCAAAACCTTGTGTGCAAAGGACAGGCTGGGCCGGAGGGTGGCAGTGTGATGGTGAAGTGGCCTTGGTTTTCATGGAGTTTTCAAGAGCCACATGTACCATCGGGCTCCCTTGAAACGAAGGGAGCTCTGCTAGGCACTGTGACAGAGGACAGATGCAAATCGAAGCCACCTGGACCCCGTGACTCCTGCTGTGCTGCCTTGCCCGTGCTCACCACGCGCCAATTCACCAGAGACTGCTCCAGCGCTACACTTCGGAGCAGACTCAGGCCTGCCCTTGGGTTGGGGTGGCACCGCCCTGGGCAGGGCCTGGGGAAGGAGAAGGTGCCTGGAGCTGCTCCGTGCCCCTTGCAGTTAGGGCAAAGTGCTGCTGAGTCCAAAGGGCCTGGACCGGTCCTGGTGCATGCCAGGGCTGCTGTGTTGCCACCCCGCCCTGCTTCCCAGTATCACGTTCCTGCCCCCAGCACTGCGGTGTCAGTGGCACGGAGTGGGCTTCGGGAGCAGCCCAGGGCCAGGACCCCTGAAAGGTGCTTCCCCTTTGTGGGTTAAATCCCCTGCTTGCAGCTCTCCCGTGCAGCGGTCTGTGGGGCTGGGAACAGCTCCCACCTCAGCATGGTGCTTGTCCTGCTCCGCTCCACGGTGCAAACTCAGATCCAGCTCTGAGGCGCAGGGTGGCTCAAGGGTGGGGGGAGATGTGGCTCTTCTCTTGCCCACCCTGCTCTCGCATACCAGTCACCCTCACCCTCCTGCTTCCTGCAGCTGTTCTGACGGTAGTAAAAAGGTGTGTTTGAATCTTTTGGGGGTGTTTGAGTCTCTCACCCACTCCAGAGCATTGTCATTGTTATACCATCCCTGGGGGTGCGTGGGGTGTCATTCCAGTGCAGTGCTGCCTGCTGGGAAGCCGCTCTCCGGAGGAATACGCAGAGAGGGCGAGGGCATTATCCTGCTCGCTCGGCTCTGTCGCTGTCTGGGCTCGGGTCTTCCCTCACAATTTTTCCCCTGGTAACTGGTGACACGGCAGCCCTGGGGGAGGAGGGAACCTTCTCTTGGAAATCCCCTGACACCATTCACACCCGTTTCCCCCTTCCCATGACAGCCCTGAGGTCTCAAGAAGGCAGAGGGGATCCCTGGCGTGGGGCTGGGGGTGGGAAGGGTGACCCAAGCACGGACCACCTTAGCTGTGGGGGCTGCGTGTCTGTGGCACAAGGGATGGGAGCGCCAGCTCCTGGCTGGTAACGGTGTCGTGAGGCTCCTGTTCAGACAGCTCTGGCACAGCCGGAGGGGATGGCTGGAGTTGGCGCAGGTCTCGAGGGAGCTGACTCGCCACGGGCCAATGCCCGATGAAAGGGGACACCCCTGTGCGCAAGCCGGTGCTGCGGCCGCTCGGCTTGATGCGGCAGTGATCCCTTCCTGGCCTCAGGCCCCTGACGCCGCAGGGCTTGGCGTCCTCGGGGTGAGGTGAGAGCTGCCCAGCAGCCCAGTGGAGGCTCCGTCTGTGCGTCCTGCCGGCTTACCCCCGCTGGCTCCCCCCTCCCGCACCCACAGAGACAGGGGATTTCCGCCAAAGCCAGTGTCCCCGCCATGGGGCACGCCAGCATTTCGGGGAAAGGGCCTTGCCTGCTCTCTTTGCCCTCCAGTAACCCCAGCCCAACCAGTCAGCAGGCAGCCCTGGGCTGCATCACCAGTCTCCGGCAGACTCCAGGCAGCTGAGGTCCTGGTCTCAGGGTGTGGGGCCGGCAGCGTCTGCTGCAGGAACCTGCCTGCTCCGGGCATTGCTGGGTCAGGGAGCCTGGGTTCCTCTGGGAGTTGGGGGGTGGGAGCTGGGGCTCAGCCAGGAGCCCCCCCACTGGCAGCTCCATGCTGGCTACAGCCCCTGCATGCGTCCAAGCCTGGAGGCAGCGAATGGCAACGGTTTTTGGGACCTGTCTTTTAGGACGTGCCCCTATTGGGCTCCGGGGCTGCATGGTCAAGGCGGGAGCCCCTGGACACCTCTGGCCAGCCCTGCGCCCCCGGCGCTGCCTACAACCTGTGCAGGACTGTATCCGCTTTCCAAACCAATTCCCTTTTTCCCTCCCCGCTGACATCTCATGTCAGGCCCATGAGTGTCCTCCTGAGGTTGAGGGTGCTTGTTGTGCCTTCGCCAGCGGGAAGGACAAGCCTTGTGTCCCCAGCCGCAGCCGACCCCCTCTGTTCCGGCCGTGTCCCCAAGGCGTGCCAGTACTCTCCAGGGCTGAGCTCAGTGCGTGGGTCGCGGGGAGACATATCCACGGTGGGGTCCAGCCCCAGATCTACCCTGGAGGGACAGCGGCTCCTGTCTGGTCACCACCGTGTGATGCCAGGGGTGGGAGCTCAGCTGTTGCTGCTTTTTTTTTTGTTTTGTTTTTTATGCTAGAATCGGCTGTCTCCAGGTAGTTTTTATTCAGGCCCCGGAGTGAGAGCTCTGCTTCGCACCAGACCCCATGCTGGATCGACCCGTGGCCGTGCGCCCTCCCAGTGCTTCCCACCAGGGACTTAAAGTGACGCTTCTGGTATCCCCACGTGGCCCCAGCATGCCACCCATGTGCGAGGTAGCCGTGTTTCACATCCTCCCCGCTGCACGTCATCCGCTTTCTGTTCCAGCCGCATCTTCCCCTTCTGCTCCCAGCAAGAAGGGAAGCAGGCTCCGAGCCGCTGCGCTGCCTTGTCTACATCGCCGTTCCCAGGAGGGATTTGCTCCTTGTCTGGGGGTTTCCTCAATGCCTCCTTCTCTACAGCCCCATGGCAACGGCGGTTTTGCTGGTTCGTGTCCCCGTCTCAATCCCTGAGCGTGAAAATCTCACGTACGTGGGGCTTAGCGCATCCCTGGCCTGTGGGCTCGGACCCCGTCGCGGGCCCAACCTGGAGCTCCAGTGCCAAAGGCCTGCCTGCAGAGCACCCTGCTGCCCCTGCCCCACATGCACAAGCCTCGTGTGTAGACCCCATGCACCCAGGCGGTGATGGGGAAAGAAAGGGGAACCAGGACAAGCAGTGCCAGAGACTTCCCAAGCAGGGCTGCGGTGTCGCCAGTTACCAGGCAAAGCTGATGCTGGGAGAACTGGTCTGGCTGAGGGCAAGATCCAGCTTTGCTCCCCCCCGCCCGCCCGGCCCCAGCTAATGGCTCTTAGGTGCAGCTGCAGGTTTCCCCTCCACTGCCCAGGGTACACGCGCACGTGTGTGTGCAGGACAGGGACCGGTGTCTGCAGGAACAGGGCTGTCAGAGGAACCAGTCTCATCACCTGTAGTTTGCCTGCTCCCCCTCTGTGTCGTCCCTTGGCCCCCAGCCTTGCAAGTGGGGTCAGCCACGTGCCCTTGCACCCATGGGGTGAACACCGGTGTCGTGGAGCCCAGCCGCCCCCGGGGGCCTCCCTGGGCACTGGTGGAGCCAGCGAGGACTCCCCTGCCTCAGGGTCCAGGCCCCAGCCGATGTTGGCTCTGGGTTAACAAGCCTCGTTAACCAGGGAGCCACGTGCCCCAGGGCCGCTGCTGGCATCTGTGGCGCAGCAGGATGGGTCGGGTTGTGCCGGAGCCCCTTCCTGGCCTTGCCGTGAGTGTGGCTATGTGCCAATGGACTCTGTGATCTCCCCCCAGGAGCCATAAATGGGCAACTCCCTGACAGGGCTGTTCTTTAGAGGTGCTAAGATCCCACCCACATTGGCTGGGAGAACCCAGGAGTCCTGGGATCATCCTACCCCTTCCCTCTGTCCAAGAGCTGTAGCTAGATCCCTAGAGCCCTGCCCCACACCCACAACCCACCACCCCATAAATCACCCAGACACCAAGGAGGCCTGTAGAGCTGCAGTCACCCCCTAGCACGGTGCAGAGAATGGACTCACGGTGAGGGTCGCACGGCAGGATCAACCCCAACCCACTTTATTGTGGGGACAAAGCAGCGGAGCAGAAGCGGAGGGTGCAGGGCTGTGCGCCGAGGGGAAGCTGTGGGGCAGGGCACACCTCCCCTCCCTTCAGGGGTCTGTAGGGGAGACCCCACATCTGGGCTGGGAGGAGGCACCGCGTCCTCGGCTGGAGATGGCCCTGGGACCAGGGGCTGTGGGCAGGGCAGCCCCAGCGTGGTGGTGGTGTGGGCTGGGTACTGGGACCAGTGCAGGCCCCCAGGCTCTGCAACAATTTCCCCTGGCAGTGGGTGAGCCAGGGTGGCCCCAGGTGCCACCCCGGCTCGCTCCAGCCATGGGAAGTAGCCCAGCCCACTGTGGGGACGGGACCCTGCTGGGTCTGGCTCTAGAGCCATCTCCAGCATGTCTGCGTGTGGTGCGCATGGGAGAAGGGTGCTGACGAGGTGGGGCAGGGATATGGGGCACCAGGGTGAGCAGCTCCCACCAGGCTGAGGCGAGGGCTGGCTGAGGGTGCAGAGGGTCTGGTTGGGGAGAGGACGGGAGCCCTGGGCTCTGCCCCCTCACAAGAGGCCCCGCTGGTTGCGGGCGCTGTTCATCTTCATGGCCTTGATGATGAGGATGGTGCCCACGATGATGCCGACGATGCCCACGGCCAGGCCCAGGGCGCACACCAGGGTCTCGGTGCTCTCGGAGACGGGGAGGGGCACCTGGGGCTCTGCGGAGGGGTGAGGGGGGGTGAGGATGGGGCGCTGAGCCCCCCTCGCTACCTGCAAGGGGAGAGGACCCAGGCGTCCGGGCCCCGGCCCAGCCCCCATCCTCACCCCAGTGCTTCAGGAGGGCGGTGGGCAGCCCCTCGTGCTCCACGCGGCAGTCGTAGTAGTCCCCCCGCGCGGGGATGAAGGGCAGGTAGGAGAACTTGCGGAAGGTGCAGTCCTGCCCTCGGTAGAAGACGGTCTCAAGGACGCCATCCGTCACCTCCTGCCCGTTCCTCAGCCACGTGATGGAGATCACGGATGGCCAGAACTTGTCCACGTAGCAGGTCAGGACGTTGGGGTCCCCCAGCTCCACAGGGTCCTCAGAGAACACTGTCACCTCGGGTGATGCTGGGGGGAGATGGAGAAGGGGTTAGTGCAGTCTGGGGTCAGCTAGGCTTCACTGCCTGGGGCTGGGCTGAGGTTTCCTGCCCCATAGACCTGTGCTTCACAGAGAGACCCCACACCTCAGCTTTGGGCTGTGCCCGGGTCTCCACATGCTCCAGAGTAGCAGGGCACTGTGCACCCCGCTGCCAGCTTGGCAGCAGGGTGTGGGAGCAACGGCCCTGGCAGGGTCCCCAGGGGTGAAGGCACTGGCCGTGCCGTGGCCGGGTTGTTACCGATGGTTGCCTGCGAGTGATTGGAGTTTTCAGTCATGATCTTCAAGTTCTGTTTCATTACAGCAATGTTCTGCAGCGCTCCCTGTGCCTCGAAAGAAGCGAACTTCCCGAACTCGGGCAGGCGCCAGATCGTCTCCTGCTTCTGCAGATCCACGTGGAAGATCTCGTCCCCATCGAAATCAAACATGAACTGGCCGCCCTCCTGCTGCAGCCTCTCATCCCGCTGGTACAAGTCAGTCTGGATTATCGCGTTGCCCACTGGGAAGGGACAGGCATTAGGGTCAGTGCCCTTCCCACCGCCCCAGAGCTCGCCCCATCTCCCCACGGCCTCCCACTGGGGACACTGCGAGAGCACAGGGAGGCCATGATGGGGAGAGCAGCCCACCCGGAGCCTCTCCCTTCCCTCGGGGGTCCCACAGGGCTGGGCAGATGCTGACACCCCCTCCCAGGAAAGGGGGTGCTGGGGCACCCGCTCTGCCCCCAGCCCCCAGCTCAGCACCTCCATGCCATCAGGAGGTTTCCCTTCCTCATCACCTGAGGCCGGGGCCAGTGACAGGCTGTGGGGACTGCAGGGGCCTGTCCCCAGACGTGCTGCGGGGGCAGGGGTGGCGGTCCCAGGGCCCCAAGGACTTGGGCAGTGGCTGTCCTGCCCCACACAATGACCCCACCTGGGCCAGGCCCTTGGGCACAGCCACTGCGAAGGGACACCCAGGACCAGTGGGTGCTGCAGGGACCTGACCCACGGAGCTGGGGCACTGGGGGGTAGGAGGGCAGGGAGACCTGGGCTGGGGGAGGGCAGGGAATGAGTGTCCTGGCCCCCCCTCCTCCGCAGCCTGCCCTGCCCTCCTGGGGTGCACCTGGGGCCCATCCCCACACAGGGGTTACCTGCAGCTGGAGGGACGGAGCTCCCCATGCAGACCCTGGGACCTTGACCCAACCATACACCATCCCCACAACCCCACCCCATGGGTCCAGAGCCCCCCACGCCCCACCTCTGCCCCCACAGCCACCTGCCCACGGCCCCGGCGCCCTCACGCACCTTTCACGGCCCCCGCGCCCCGCAGGGTCAGCACAGCCAGCAGCGCCAGCGGGATGCCCCGTCCTCCGGCCATCGCCTCTCCTGGCACTGGGCAGCGAGAGCGGGATCAGGCGAGGGGCAGGCGTTGCTCTTGGGCTGGGGAGCTGTGTGCTGGGGGCCCCGGGCTCGGGGAACAGGGCCCCCCCAGACGCTCAGCCAATAGGAGGGAGCCCTGACGCTGCCTCAGCTGTTCCCAGGCAGAGGAGCAGCACAGAGCACCCTGCAGAGCAGATAGATGGATGGACGCTCAGACAGGGTCCCGCGGGGGTGCACTGGTGAACTTGGGCCACGCACACCCCTGGAGAGGGCTCTGGGGAGGGTGGAGGTGGGGGGCCACTGAGGCCGGGGAGCCCCAGTGCTGGCTGGGGCCGGCAGCCTCCTCCCTGGGGTCACTGCTCCGGCGCGGGACAAGTGTCAGAGGGAGCCCTGCAGGGCCCAGCTCTGCCTGGTGACAGGTGATGCTGCCCAGCCTCGCTCCTCACTGGTCCTCGCTGGGACTCCCAGTCCCTGCACTGGGCAGGGCTGGGGTATACCCCAACTGGCAGAGTCCGGCTCGCTCAGGGGTCCCAGCAACGTTCA